AGGTCAAATAAAGAGCTTCCCAGACAAAAAAAGGCTAAGGGAATACATTAGCACCAAACCAGCACTGCGAGAAATGTTGAAAGGACTGCTGTAATTAGTAGAAGAAATAGGAAGAAAAATATAACCCCACTTAACAAAAATGGCAATAAATAAGTACATATCAATAATCACCATAACAGTAAATAGGCTGAATGCTCCAAAAAAAAAAAAAGAAAAGAAAAAATAAAAAGACACAGAGTAGCTGATTGGATAAGAAAGCACGACTCATCTATATGTTGTTTACAAGAGACCCACTTCACAACAAGACTCACATAGGTTGAAAGTGAAGGGATGGAAAAAAATCTTCCAAGCAAACGGAAAGGAAAAAAAGCTGGGGTAGCAATAATCATATCTGATAAAGTAGATTTCAAAATGAAAGCCATAACTAGAGACAAAGAAGGTCACTACATAATATTGAAAGCATCTATCCAACAGGAAGATATAACCTTGGTAAACATGTATGCACCCAATATAGGAGCACCAACATATATTAAAAATCTTCTGGAGGACTTCAAAGGAGAAATCAACAACAATACAATCATAGCAGGGGACTTCAATACCCCACTTACATCACTGGATAGATCTTCTAGACAAATAATTAGCAAGGAAACAGAGACTCTAAATGAAACACTAGACCAAATGGATTTAAAAGATATCTACAGAGAATTACACCCCAAAACTACAGAATTCACATTCTTCTCTAGTGCACATGGGACACTCTAAAAGATAGACCCCATGTTAGGGCACAAACTAATTCTTTACAAGCTCAAGAAGATTGAAATCATATCTAGCATCTTCTCAGATCACAACTGATCTAGAAATCAGTTGCAACAAGAACATGCAAAGACATTTGAACACATGGAGGCTGAATAGCATGTTATTAAACAATGAATGCATTACCAAGGAGATCAAGAAAGAAATTAAAAACTCCCTGGAAACCAATAAAAATTAACACACAACAACACAAAATTTATGGGATGCAGTGAAAGCAGTTCTGAGAGGGAAGTTCATAGCACTACCTCAAGAAAATTTCTAATAGACTATCTAACATCACAACTTAAAGAACTAGAAAGCAAACAAAAAGAAAATCTCAGAGCAAGTAGAAGGAAGGAAATAGTAAAGATCAGAGCAGAAATAAATGACATAGAGACCAAAAAAAACACAAAAAACCAAATTTCAAAGGATCAATGAAATGAAGAGCTGGTTCTTTGAAAAGATAAACAAGATGATGGACCCTTAGCAAGACTCACCAAATAACAAAGAGAAGCCAAATACACAAAATCAGAAATGAAAGAGGAGAAGTAACAACTGACACCACAGAAATACAAAGGATGGTTAACAACTACTATGAACAAGTATATGGAAACAAATTTGACAATGAACAAATTTCTAGAAACACATAGATTCCCAAAACTGGACCAGGAAGAGATAAAAAAACTTGAACAGACCAATAACAACTAAGGAAATTGAAGAGGTAATCAAGACTCTCCCAGCAAACAAAAGCCCAGGCCTGGATGGCTTCATGGGGGAGTTTTACCGAACATTCAAAGAAGAACTAACACCCATTCTCCTCAAACTATTTCAAAAAATTCAAGAAGAAGGAAGACTTCCAAACTCTTTTTATGAGGCCAGCATAATTCTAATTCCCAAACCAGAAAAAGACACTACAAAGAAAGCTAACTACAGACCAATATCCCCAATGAACATAGATGCCAAAATCCTGAACAAAATATTAGCAAATTGGATCCAGAAATACATCAAGAAAATTATTCACCATGACCAAGTGGGATTCATTCCAGGGATGCAAGGCTGGTACAATATTCGCAAATCAATAAACGTGATACACCACATAAACAAAATGAAGAATAAAAACCACATGATCATATCAATAGATGCTGAAAAAGCATTTGACAAAATCCAGCATCCATTTCTGATAAAAACGCTCAGCAATGTAGGAATAGAGGGATCATATCTCGACATACTAAAGGCCATATATGAAAGACCTACAGCCAACATCATACTCAATGGGCAGAAACTAAAAACATTTCCATTAAGAACAGGAACAAGACAGGGATGTCCACTTTCGCCACTCTTATTTAACATTGTACTGGAAGTCTTAGCCACAGCAATCAGACATGAAGAAAAAATTAAAGGGATCCAAATTGGAAAGGAGGAAGTGAAACTGTCATTATTTGAAGATGACATGATATTGTACATAGAAAACCCTAAAGACTCCATCAAAAATCTATTAGACTTAATAAATGAATTCGGCAAAGTAGCAGGATACAAAATTAACGTCAAGAAATCGACAGCATTCTTGTACATCAATGATGAACTCACAGAAAGAGAAACTGAAAAAACAATCCCATTTACCATCGCTTCAAAAAAATTACGCTACCTAGGAATAAACTTAACCAAAGAAGTAAAGGACCTATTTGCAGAAAACTACAGGTCATTGAAAAAAGAAATAGAGGAAGATATAAAAAAGTGGAAGCACATACCCTGTTCATGGATTGGAAGAATTAACATCATTAAAATGTCCATACTACCCAAAGCAATCTATAGATTCAATGCAATCCCCATCAAAATACCAACGACATATTTCATAGAACTAGAACAAATACTTCAAAAGTTCATATGGAACCAAAAAAGACCTCGAATAGCCACAGCAATCTTGAAAAAGAAGAACAAAGTAGGTGGGATCACAATACCAGATATCAGGTTATACTACAAAGCGACTGTAACCAAAACAGCCTGGTACTGGCACAAGAACAGGCATATAGACCAGTGGAACAGAACTGAAAACCCAGAAATGGACCCAAGGCAATACGCTCAATTAATTAGTGGAGTCAAGACAGCCTCTTTAATAAATGGTGTTGGGAAAATTGGACAGCTACATGCAAAAAAATGAAACTAGACCATCAATTTACACCATACACAAAAATAAACTCAAAATGGATAAAAGACTTAAATGTGACCCGGGAATCCATAAAAATTCTAGAAGAAAATGTAGGCAACAAAATTTCGGACATCATACGGAGCAGAATTTTCACTGATACATCACCTAAGGCAACAGAAATAAAGGAGAAAATGAACACATGGGACTATATCAAACTAAAAAGCTTCTGCACAGCAAAAGAAACAATCATCAAAATGGAAAGGCAACCCACTGTATGGGAGAACATCTTACCAATGATGTATCAGATAAGGGGTTAATTTCCAATATATATAGAGTGCTCATACAACTCCACAAAAGGAAGACAAAGAACCCAATTAAAAAATGGGCAGAGGAGCTGAATAGACACCTCTCCAAACAGGACATATAAATGGCCAAGAGACATATGAAGAAATGCTCAACATCACTAATCATCAGAGAGATGCAAATTAAAACAACGATGAGGTATCACCTCACACCTGTCAGAATGGCCGCCATCAACAAATCATCAAACAACAAGTGTTGGCGAGGGTGTGGAGAAAAGGGGACTCTAATACACTGCTGGTGGGAATGCAGACTGGTGCAGCCGCTATGGAAAACAATATGGTGCAACCTCAAAAAATTACAAATTGAACTTCCATTTGACCCAGTGATCCCACTGTTGGGAATATACCCTAAGAAGCCTGAAACACCAATCAGGAAGAATATATTTACCCCCATGTTCATAGCAGCACTATTTACAATAGCTAAGATCTGGAAACAGCCCAAGTGTCCACCAGTAGACGAATGGATCAAAAAGCTGTGGTACATATACACAATGGAGTACTATGCAGCGGTAAGAAAGAAAGATCTCTTATCCTTTGAGACGACATGGAGGGACCTGGAAAGTATTATCCTAAGTGAAAGAAGCCAAGCAGAAAAAGACAAATACCACATGATCTCACTTATATACGGAATATAATGAACATAACAGTCTGAGGAATACAGTAGACCCAGACACATGGAAGTAGGCCACAGACTGACATCCCTCAGAAGAGGGGATGGGGGGTGGGGGGGTGGGAAGAGATAAACCACATAACTTATATGCATGTATGCATGACCAATGGACATGGACAACTAAGCCGGGGACAGGGTGGAGGGTGGGGTGGGGTGGGGGGTGCCAATGGGGTAAAAAGGTAAAATATCTGTAACAAAAAAATAAATAAAAATTCATTAAAAAAAAAAAAAAAGAAAAGAAATGGGGAGCACACTGGCCAGACTGAAAAGCTAATTTAAATGGGTTTTGTATTTTAATTTTACTGAGTCTGGGTTAAGAGGAGAAAGCTAAGAAACACTTTTAAATGTCACAATCAGCAAATAATAAAGAAAATGTATGAGGAGGAAATCTTAATAGGACCAAATGAGAATTATGTATTCTATGTAGGTGCTATAAAATTCCATTCAGAGCTCTGGGGAAAAAGAATAAATTTAGAATCTTAGGAAAATAGAAATAAGAGTTATAACATTACCCATTTATAAGTGTGTATATTTCTATTTTACTGCTATTTCTATTTAATAAACCTACTGAGTTTTATTTTGCAGTTATAATTTAATCATTGTTTTAAGGTAAAAAAAAATTCTTGAACAAATGTACAGCCATATGAATTATTCATCAAATATAAAAAACACCAACAGACTCTTTAATAATTTTTGTGCCCAAATTGTGTCTTCTGTATAGTAACGTTTTATAAACTTTTAGAACCATTTGAGATTTCGATTTTGGAAGCTTTCTTTGGTTTCCCTGAATTTTAATAATTTAGAATAATCTAATACACTGATGTTTTTTAAAGCAAAATATTACATTAAAGGAGCATTACATTAACTTATTTTTGCATTCACTTATAAGTTTCACTTATAAAATTCACTTTTTAATAATGTCCTGCAAGATTTATCACTGTCCCTAAATTTTAATATCATAGTTTTGCCATTTTTTTGATTAAGAAAGTACATTAACTACATTAAAATTTTTTCTCTGTTGCTATTTTAGGTCCTGTATTAGAGATCACCCAGCAAGATTTTTTTCAGGAAGCAAAAACTCTCATTGCCCAACATCATGAGAAAATAAATGAGGTTAATGCTTTGCATTTATCTAACATTATATTTTTCAGGAAACTAATAACTATTTTTGTACACTGCAATGATCGTTCCAAATGATTGCACAAGCTGTAATAGATTTTGAATAGACTAGAGAGAAAATGAAATCTTTACTAGCTATAAGAATTGATTTCAGACTGCATTTTAAAATGGGATTTTTCAGCTATACAGATTATTTAATTATACAGATAGACTTAATTTGCATGCTTAATTTTGAATGTTTTCTTTTGATGAATTATAACAAATATTTGGATTAAATATCTCAAGTAAATTTCCCTCTGTAAACACTCTTAGGCAAAACTAAACTAGAAAAGAGACTGAGATGTCTCCTCCATGCCCCTGGTATGATGTGCTTATCTGATCTTCCTCCACATCACTTTGCATTAGAACTGTTTACCAGTCTGATAGCTTCTTGAGGGTAGTGACTTCCTTGTTTGAATGTTGCATCTCTAGCAACAAGCATTATGCCTAGCCCAATAAATATTTGCTGAATGGCATAGATTTGGAAGGGCAGAGAAGAAAGAATGAAAGGGAAATTGATGGCAAAGAGACCGAAGAGTTGGCACAGGGTGAAATTTTGGAGAATAGCCTTAACAGAGAAGATGGGAATTTTGGGGAGCAGCACCTATTATGACAAAGGGGCCTATGGGGAGACAGATGAGGAAAGGGGATCTTAGAACGATGTACTTTGTGCTACGCTATCCTATTCCTTTTTGAGTACTTTTTAAATTGATGTATTTTCAATATTTTCAATATTTTTCAATGCATATTATTATGGAGGAAGGGCATTATAATTTTTACATATGTTTCTTTTGAATAATCCTCTATACCGAGAATGGTGGTTTGAATCTTGTAATCAACATTGTCAATATTGCTTAACTTTTTCCTCTAACCAAAAAATACTTTTAAATTATACTGATTTCATTAATAGGTGCACGGGATGTAAAGTTCACAGTCTTCAGAGTTAGATAGATGTGCCTTAGAACCCTGACCATGTTTAGAGTTTAATCTAATAACACCATAATGGTCCATCTTTGATTGCTTGGCAAAACATAATACCTCCTTACTGGAATCTTGAATTGGCAACAATTTGAATTTGTTTAAACCTTTTTATGGGCCAGAGAATGACTAGACTAGAACAAGTATTGTTTGGATAATAAATTGCCAGAGACCTCGGACTATATTATTTTTCTATTGCTCAAAAATTAAGAAGCATTTAAGCCATTGAAATGATCTGAAATACATATCCAATTATTAATAATTTTTTTCTTGAGAATCTGCCTCTCTATATGAGCAGTTATTTATGGTTCAAAAGAAAAAGAGTTTTGGGGGTGTTAGCATTTTATGGACATTTGAGAATTCTTCAAAGATGATTAAAATAATTAGATTCTGATGTGTCTAGTTGCAAAGTTCTATCTTAACATAGACTTTAAAGCTGTATTTAAAAATATCACATTTGAGAAGAAAATTACTATTTTAAATTTACATTTTTTGAAGTGGATTGCAACCCTCATGCCTATGAGGGACCTTTTGACAACTACATAGAATAACATCTGCTTTACTGGAGTGCTGTCATATGCTTTACAGTAAATGTCTCATATGGCAAGGTACTTTGTAAAACGTGTTTAGTGGATTTACGTTTATTTTGAATCAATAAAATTTGTTATCTACTTTTATTATGTAATTCATATGACAATTAATTGGAATTAAACTTCTTTTTGTTTTATTGACAGAACAAAGTTCAAGATACTTCTATAAATGTTTTTAGAAATAAACATCTAAAACTGAAATCTGGCAAATTCATACCTTTAGAGATTAGGAAAAAGGAAACACTTGACGTGGTCCAAGAACTCCAGATAGCGCACAAACATATTTGTTTTCCCAAAGATGTTTCCAAATGTGAACATTTTGAGGAACCCCCCCAACAAACTGCTTTCAAGGAGCCACACATTTTTAATGTAAAAGAGAAATTCAAGAGCCCTATAGATCTAATTGCAAAAGGTAAGTTTTAATCTCAGAGGCAAGGGGGGAGGGTAGGAAGAGATTAACCAAAGAATTTATATGCCTATATGCATTGCCCATGGACACAGAAAATGGGATGGGAAGGCATGGGGTGGGGTGGGAACAGGGTAGAGGGGGACAATGGGGGGGGGCATCTGTAATACTCTCAACAATAAAGATTAAAAAGAAAAGTTCAGCAAATTAACAGGCAAAGCTGTTTGTTTCTGGTACGCTTTTAATGGAATTTCCTTGTTCAGACAAAAATCCAAACTTGAAATTTGAGCAGTGAAAGGTAGGGAGGCATGATGAAAAGAGCTGCTAACCTCTGGGGGCCGCCTGACATTGAGAAGGGAGCATCCTAATGGGGAAGAGGGCTTCAGAGGAACAAAAGTGGCCAGCTGTGTCTTCCAACAGAGCGCTATTCTTCTAGACAAACCCTCAGAGACTGGTCAGTTCACTGTTAGAGGAGCAGCCAGAGGCTTATGGCTTTGGGGTCTGTTGCTGAGCAGGGTAGATAGGGTAGGCAAGCTGCTTGAGAGTGTGTTCCTCCAAAATTCTAAAAGGATTTTTGGGAGTTAGAGTTTTCCTTTAAGACAAATTGTAGTAGAGGTATGTTCTCTATCAGGAACTTGGTAAGGTGAAACTTGAGGGTCCATTTCAGCAAAGTGGTATTGTTTCACTGAGACTATTGGCTGGAATAAATGACCTCTTAAAACACATTTTTAGTTATAGCTTTTTAAAATTCATCTACATTTTCCTCTTTCTTATTGCTTCTTATGTTATTCATTCATTTGAATTTTTTTTTTTTCATTCAGTGCCGGCTCTGTGCCAGGCACTATGCTGGGAGCTAGAAAACAGAGATGAAAGGGCTCACAGAGGTATGCTGGGGACACACACACAGGCAGTTTCTTATCATACAATGTGGCGATGGCTATAATAGAAGTACGTGCAAAGCATTGTGGAGACACTGAGGCGTAACCAACCAAGTGCTGGAATGGAAATTGCTCAGAAGAGATTTCACCAGAAATGGATTGTAAGGAGAAGATCGTTAGAAGTAAGATGAAAGCAGGAGAGCTCATTTGGAGTAGTGGCAGCAAAATAATAAAGCCCCAAAGGACTGAAGAGGGTGAGGTTTGGGGGAAGGAGAGCTGTGGAAAGAAAGTTGGGCAGGTCAGTGAGGCTAGATTTTGAAGATAATATAATATGAGATCTAGGGCTTGAACTTACGTGCAATGGAGAGCCAATGGTGATTTTAAAGCTGGGGTTGGGGTTGGGAGGAGGCATGACCAAATCTGTCTCATAGAAAAATAAAACTGGTATCAGGGGCTGCAGAGAGAAAGGGAGCAGAGAGATCAGCAGGAGGCTTTTCAGGAAAGAGATGATCTATGTAAGAGATGACAGAGGCCTAAATCCGGCCAGTAGTGAAGCATGAAGTGTGGAGGAAGGATGTTACCGTGGCATTTCTCAAAGTGGACTCTTCAGAACACTAGTCCTGAATGATTCACCTTGACAAAGGGTTCAGTGCATTCACTTCTTCAGGATTCATACTGAGCATTCATATATTGAAAGCTCTGAGAAATACTGCAGATAAGATACCTGTCCACTGTTTTTAACCTGCCTATTCCCAATTCATCCAATTAAAGAATTCCTAAAGGGCAAGGTTGCAGTTTCTAGCCTGGAAAACTGAACAGAGATCATTAAACTGAGATAGGAATTTTGAGGGAGAAGCAGATTTTGGTCAGATAAAGAGAGGGATGGGGAAAATAATGAATGTAGTTGTAGACCTGTTAAGTAGACATCTATATGGAGATAATGATTAGAAAGTTGGAAATAGGAGAGCCAGCTTAAGACAGAGGTAAAGATTGAAGGTTGATGTTGTGGGTCATTACCTTACTGAAATTGTGGGGTCCATGCATTTATTCAACCAACATTTATTTATTATATGAGGTATATAGAGACAAAATATATGCTACTTGGCCTCAAGAAGTTGCAATTTGACATATATAATTTGTATGTGATTGGATGAAGGAAGATAGACAATTACAATAGAGTGTTACCAGTTAATGAAAGCAAGCTCTGGGCTTATTGGACTCCTTCCGGACTTGGGGTGGGCTTAGCCACCAGGAAGGGAAGATGAAAGGCGATGGATAAATGTTTCCTACTTTCTTTACCTGGGCAGAAGGGTCTTAGTTACACTCTAGAAAGCTTCTCAGAAGGTCTCAAGCAATAAAGCAACTAGTTTCCTAGAGTGATGGTCAACCGGCAGTCCCCCCTCTTCCAAATTCTTACATTAGTTCTCCCTTGTTCCTGGTTCATTTTCCCATCATTCATTCCTGTTCCCTAAACTCACTTTCTTAAATACTTAAAATTTTTTGGTGACGAGTTGTAAGTACTTACTGAAAGATTGGGTGTGGAGTCTGAGCGAAAGGATGCTGCTGAGCTGGAAGATAAGAATCACCACGCTCTGAGATGGAGGAGAAGGAGATGCAGTTTTGAATAGACAGAAACCCAGAGTGGATATTTGGACACGTTATGTTTGAGGTACTTGGTACACATACAAATGGAAATGTCAAATAGCTAGTCTGCTATATAAGTGTAGGCTAATAAGAAAGGTTGTAGTTATTAATGCATAGATCAATATTGGCCAATAGAACTATAATATGAGCTATAGATGTCATTGAAAATTTTCTAGTGGCCACACTGAAAAAGTAAAAAGAAACAGGTAAAAACAGGTAAAATTAATTTTAATAATAGATTTATTTAATATAATAAATCCAAAATATTATTATTTCATTAATATAAAAATTAATGAGGGGGGTTGAGGGATAGAGCAAAGGAAAAAAGGGAGAGAGAGAGAGAAAAATCTCATGGACATGGACAACAGTGTGGTGATTGTTGGGGAGAGTTTGGGGAGAGGTGGAGGAGGGTATGGGGGAATAAATGATGATGGAAGGAGACTTGACTTGGGGTAGTAAACACACAGTACAGTATACAGATGATGAGTTGTGGAACTATGCACCTGAAACCTGTATAATTTTATTAACCCTTGTCACCCCAATAAATTCAATAAAAAGGGGAAAATAAAAATTAATGAGTTATATTACTTTTTTTTTCATAGTCTCCAAAATCCAGTGTGTATTTTAGAAATTGGTGTGGCCACATTTTAGGTGTTGGACACCTGAAATCTATACGCGGACAGCACAAGTATAAATCTTATTTACAATCATACTTAGATAAGATCATCTAAGAAGTAAATGTATGTGGAGGGAAAAAAAAAATTCAAGGATTAAGCCCTGAGGGTTTCCAGCATTTAAAGTGCAAGAAGAGGAGTAGCCAGCAAAGGAGGTGGAAAATGGACAGCTGGGAGGGAAATCAGGAGAGGGTGAAATATTTACTCATTCTGTGGTCAAGGAAGAGGAACACCTTAGGAGCACAGAGAGCTCGTCAGTTGTCCCAGGAGGAAGGCAGGGGCATGAGCAGACTCAGGGTGACTGGTAAATTAGGTACAGGGATTGCTCCTACTGTTTCAGTGAAATTAGAAGTGAGGTTTTCACTTGAGAATGGGATGGGAAGTATTGCAGTTTTGAGGAGCAAAGAGAGAGGTGAAATAACTATAATCTGGATGAGTACAGCTGGACACAGACTATGAAAAGATTCTTTGCTATGAAAAATAAGTTTACCTCCTCTTTTAAGAGAAAAGAGAAATGATTGGGAAGTGTCAACAAGGACCAAGGAAGAAATGGACTTTATCTTTAGCCCTAGAGTATGGGAAGGGTGGGAAAAAATAGTTACCTCTTGAGAAAGCTGCCGAAGACGCTGTATCTTTAGGAAAATAAGGGTTATTTGTTAGAACAAAAAGCTAGGGGACCACATAGAGAATATAACTCGAATAGTAATTTAGCTGATGAAAGATTTGGGGTTTCTTAGGGCACAGTGAAGAGTTTGGGGAAGTGATTCAAGAAAGGATGAAAGGTTGAGGGTATATGGGATTAAGATAAACAGCGGAGAGAGTGAGAAGACGAATTCTGAGGGTCTCTTGGAGAAGGTGGGTAATCCATTCTAATAATGGTCATTTTGGGGGGATTGTACTCTTTAGCGGGTTGTTATCTTGAGGCCAAGAATGTTGGGGATGGGGATGTAAGAAAGCAGTGAAGGTTTTATCAAGAGCACAGGAGGACAGTGGTCATCCTGAAATCCTGCTGTGGGCCGTTGAAGTCAAAGACATTTCACTGTAGGAGCCTCTGTGTGTGTCCCACCAGACAGCCATGGAGTGCTGAGCTTAGAGTTTATATGTGAATTAAAATTGCAATTTATTTCTCAGAGTTCTTATCTCGAAAGCCTGTAGTAAGTCTGTAACTTGAATTGATTTTTTAAACATATTCTCCATATTCACGCCACCGTGAATGGAAGCATGATCTGAGATATCAGTGGCAGTAATTCCAGAACTTGATTAAAGTTTGTGAGATTAGGAAAGTGAGTCCTGTGTGTGGCATATGTGTGTACCATTTGCTCTTGCTGCGCTGACAAATTCGGTTGCCTTATCTTCCACAAGGTGAACATTTTATGTGAGAACAGGTCAACATTCCTTGAATTTGATCCAAGGATATCAACTTTAAAAATACTCTGTGACAATTATAATATCAAATATGTTTACTAAATATGGTTTTTGTGTACTTGCATATAGTACATACCCATATTTCACTTAATAGAACAAAATCAGAAGTGATTTCCTCTTTGAGTATACAGATATTCTACGGTACTGCTTAACCAGTTTCTATTGTCATGCTGCCAAGAGTTTATGTTGATTAGAAATCACATATAAAAATCATTTTTTGTAATATATATTAAATATTAGTTTATAGTTACCATACAACATATATATAGTACTAATCTACTTATGCATTCCCTTAGGAAAAAAAAAATACTTAGGCCTCATTTCAATTTATTTAAATTTGAAAACAGATTTTAATTAAACTTAATGAGATTTCATGATATTCATG